AGCTGGTGAAGCGGAACACTTATTCACATGTTTATTTAAATTTAGATTTCACCTTTCATGAACTGTTCATTTCATCAGTCCATTTATTGATTTGGTCATTTGTTTTCTTGTTTCTTTTCTTGTGCTCTTTGTTTATTTAGATATTAACCTGTCAAATGAAAGCAGTCTTTTCATTTGATTAACTCATTCCTTTGCTGTACAGATTCTTTTTAATTTCATGTGATACCATTTGTCGACTCCTGACCTCATTTCTGAGTGCCTAAAATCCTACTCAGAAAGACCTTGCTTGCAGCAGTATTTCCCTACTTCCTTAACAGTGTAACGGCACTTCTAATGAAATTTTATCAGTTTTGCCTCCTTAATATATCTCTTATCTACCCATGATTACCCTTATGTACCATTTATTAGTCTTACTTAATTAAAATATATCCCTAATCTGTTTTCTAAAAATGACAACATACATTAGTGTCAAAACTATCTTTCTAAAATGAAAATCTGTAGCTGGGCATGGTGGCATGTGTTTTTATTCCCAGCACTCAGAAGGTAGAAACAGGCAGATCTCTGCAGGTTTGAGGCCAGCCTGGTCTACATTGAAACCTACAGGATAGCCAGGTCTAGAGGGACTCTACCTCAGCTCCCCACTCTCTCACCCCACCGCCACCAAAGGAAACCCGATATCCTATTCTTCTCAAGGGTCTTCTCTCCACTCCTCTCCACCAGGCACAAGAAGCACCTCCACCACTATTCTTTACCACAAGTGCCTGCACAAACTTCCATCAAATGCTGATCACATATTTAAAATAAACATTGAGGGGCCAGTGAGGTGGGCTCAGCAGGTAATGGAGCTTGCCATGCAAGTCTGGCTACCTGAGTTTAATCTCTGGTTCCCACAGACAGGCACAAGGAGAATTGACACTACAGAGTTGTCCTGTGACCTTCAAACTTGTACCATGACATGAATGCCACATATACACATACAGGGACACACACACACACACACACACACACACACACACACACACACACACAGAGAGGCACACACAGTTTAAAACAAGCTAACAACAAAAACCATGTGACAGAAATCAAAATGAATTTTCTGGAAAACAAACAAAAATACCAAAATCAAAAACAAAAGATTTACCTTGGACAGACAAGTCTTGAAGCTCTGCTATGTGCAGGCCACTGATGATGGGCAAATTACAATCCCTAAACATCTCACTTTAAAGTAGGGGTAAGAATGACTGTAAATTTGGAAAGTCTCAGCTTAGTACCTGGCTGACAAGAGGCATTCAATAAGTGCTGCTAAAACAGCAAGTAAATGCCAAACCAGGCAGCCAATGGCATGGAAATTATTTCAGAAACTTGTTTCATGTAAAATGGCTTAATTTGTTTCTCTATTTTAACTGGTATTTTGTTTGTTTTATTAAGAATCACCCTATCACAAACTGGAAGCAAACTAGTATAAACTGGACAATGTTTGTATTTTTACAATGACAGAGTTGGCACTTCATATCGTGTTCATCTTGGTAAGTTTACATCTTGTAAACTAAATACTATCTTCAACAATTATCTCACGAAGTTATATTTTTTATTTTGCAATATTTGGTAGCTTTATATATTTTTATAAACTACTAAATAACCTTTCAACTCACCATCATTTTCTTTTGGCACTGATAGGCACTGAAATCATTTGGCCTGTATCTTTTATGAGCACCTTCATCGTTGTTGACAAGATATTCACCGATAGGGATGGTTCCTGTGCACCACTCAAGAACACCGCTTCGCTGAGAGAGGGGAACCACCTGAGGTGAAATCAAATACATTTGATTACAGGAAGACATTAGAGAACCGTGGACGACCATTCATCATCAGTAGTGCAAAGCATCTCCCAGAATTTACTAACATCCTGGGAGGAAAGCAAGAAACAACGAGGCTCAGAAATGAAGACCTTTCTAGCTTCTGCTTAGATGTAGAGAAGCTACCCATCCCTTAGTACCCACAATCCTCCGAGACAGCATTCGTATTAGTAACACTCAACATTATCTGTGATTGGTCCATAATTAATTAGCTCATTTAGTAGAGAATGCTTCAATTATGCTTTGTTTCTGAAACAGGGTGGTTATGTAGCCTAGGACCCTTGAACTTGCAATGCTCCTGCCTCAGCCTCTGGAGTAGCTGGGATTATAGGTATGCACCACCGCAGCTACTACTTCCCATACACTTTTGTTACCCAGGACACTTAGGACATTTCACCTAGGAAAATAATTACTTGTGACTGTGGTCTCAATTTAACATACTTTATTTAATTATACTGTATTTCTATTTATAGTCTTATTAATTTTAAGAAGAGAAAAATATACTTATAAACAAAAATAAGAACTTTAACTGAGATATTTTATAAACATACAAATGTGAAAATAATAAGAAACAAATACTATTTTTATACATTAAACCGCTTCACCAAATCTAAGAGTTTGTCAAATTTGCAGGCAAAGAAGTGAAGCTTATTTTGTGCCTCCTGCTGTGTTCACACCTCCTTCCACCATCACAGAGCTTGTAGTGCTTTTCCACATTCATGCATTTTTGGTGTTTTATTGTCAAAGCTTTTTATATACAAATACCTGCCACCATTATTTCCCAAATTAATTAATTATGACTGGGAGCATGAGTGCCAGAAGACAAGAAAGCTGCAAACTTAAAAAAGATGTGTGTCAGCTTCTACAATTTGGTTTTTCCTCACTTGATATTCTCAAGTTTGGCTTTGTTAATATACTTAAGTATCATTAATTTCATAACTTTATGATAACACACACACACAATTGTCCAATTTGTCCAGCTTTCATTTCAACATTTATACTGGTTGGTACTGTTTTCTTATTTCCTGCAGGAGACATGTAGGTCCTTCTGCTCATAGAAGGAACTAGAAACTAGAACATAGGAACTAGAAAAACCTTTGTCTCTTCAAAGAGAGAGCTGTGTAACCTGTTTTCTGCTCAGAAGACTGGGAGCAGAGACAGATAATAGCCTGGTGAACTCTGTGCTATCTGTATGGCCAGGACATACCAGCTCCTCCAAACCTTTACTTTGAGCTTATCTTGGTTAATTTATAGCATTATCCTCCCCCAGACCTCTATCATGAGCACTGACTACCTTGAGTCTGCTCTCAGTTAATATATAGAATCTATCTTTATGTCACTTGTACTTTACAGGAGTTTTGATGTAGTCATGTCTTAACCTTTATTATGCACATCGGACTGAGTTAATTATTACTGGGAAATTTTTTACCAAATTGTGCTGTGCTTAAATATGCCTAACGTAAACTACTGAGTGTCAGACTCTGGAAGTTTGACCAACACTGGCTACTGAGTTGTGCTGAAACCGACTTCTTGCCTCTGCTGGCCATAGCGTTTGTGGACACCCCCACAATTTTCCCTGAAATATTGCTGCAGTGACAGACCATGGGTAAAAATATAACAGGGTCAAAGGGAATGTACTATCTTTAACTTAATGAAGTAACTATTCAAGGTGACTGTTGCAATTTATAGACTTACCAAGAAAGTTGTTACTGCATTTTTCCAAGACATTTGTCTGACTTTTACATTTTGCTACTTTCATGCTAACTGTAGCACGCTGTGGTTTTAGTCTGTATTTTTCAGATGACTAACAGAATATCATATGATAAATATATAGGCCACTCAACCTTTTACTTAAGAATTCTGTTCTTTTCTATCTTTTTCTAATGACTTTTAAATTCTCTGTAAGAGGTATTGATATAGTCTACATATAAATTTCTTGCTATAATATTAAAATTTACTTTCTTTATGGATCCCCTGTTTTTATGGTATCTTTAATTCTAAATATTTTTTCTTTCACTATATTCAGATATGTAGAAATACTTTGTCTTGTGTCCCGAGAAACCCTTTAGTTCCAGCTCAGGTCCTCATGCTTGTAAGGGAAGCACTTTACCCACTGAGATATCTCCCCAGCCCCACCCTATATATTAAATTTCCATAAAATAAAATAGTGTCTGAGCTTTACTTTGCCTGAAAGCAGTACCTTTAGCTGAGGCAGGAAGAAAGGGTTATTTTGAAAGTGAAGATGGTTAACTGAAGAGTTCTACTTTACATTTATTGTGTTTGAGTTGCCTTAGTCCTCTATGCAAATAACCTTATAGGAAGTAGTCCTTCCAAATGGTTATGTGCTAGATGACACGTCTATTTTTAGAGATCAAATCAAGGACAAACAGGGAGTCATTAAAAGCCGGTTAGATTTCCAAAGAGCATAGGGACACAATCCATACGTAAATTTTTCTAGCAACTTGAATGGCTTCAAAAGCCCAAGTTGCTGTGTTGCTTAGTAACATCAGCCCCAAACACAAAGCTGTCAACTGCACACTCTGAGTCTGAGTTACAGGAAACCTAGCCTCAAACACATACAACGATGGGGTAGGGGTGGAGAGAGAAATTAAGAGCACTTGTTCTTGCAGAGGACCTGGGTTCAGTTCCCAGTGCCTCATCTGACCTCTGAGGACACCAGACACAATGTGGTGCACAGACACATATGTAAGGAAAACAGTCATATACATAAATCTAAAAATAAAAAGCTTTCACTGAACCTTAACTTTTGCTTTAAGCACTGCTTGAGAATTAGTCTTTAAACATTTGATGGACTGGGAATAAAACTGTGTTGGTAGCATATACACTGGGCTTTTAGAAATGTATACCTGAAAATGTTTCAAGGCTTATTGAGTTTTACTGATTTCCTCCACCCCCATCTATACCCACCCCAGTGCTGGAGTTAGAACCCTGAGCCGTATATGTGCTAGGCAAGCATTCAACACTACTTACAAAATGTCTTACTGAAATTTTACAATCAAAAATTATTTTGAAATAAGCTGGTATTTTTCAGTGCCATTCCACTTAAGATATATCTCAGTTTTCTTTCACATTTTATGCTTTCCTAATTTTTTTTTATCCATGCCTTTATTTATTTTGTTAGCAACACTCCTGGGCAGTTACTCTTTTTTTCCTTCTTGCGCAGGAACCATGCTAACTTTCTCTGAATTGTTCTAATTTTAGTGTATGTGCTGCTGAAGTGAGCACAATGTTACACATTCTTTAACTTGTGAAGGGAACATTTTTCCACTGTATTTTCAAACAAGTATTAATGTTTATGTTAACTCCTGATAAAATACTTAAGTTTCCAGAGAAAATAGTTATAGAATCTACCCTTCTGAAAGTAAAAGAGACAGATGGTTAGACTGTCTGGAAAGAACTGGTTTTCAACTACAAGATGAATTAAATGCTTTTGAGTTTGTTCATATCTTCCTGGGAAAAGGAAAAGGCAGCAGCAGTAAGTCCTGTTATAGCAGTGACAGAGGACCGAGAGGGGGATGAGCCCTGGGAACAAAGCCAGAGAAGGACACACCTACAGAATTTTATCTCTTGTGTTTATTAATTAATTAAAATCGTTGGTTCTTATATTAACTAATTAAGAGTTAATTAAGGAGCCAAAGATCAGCTAATAGAATAACATGATTTGAAGATTTCTACTGTGAAGGAAATGAAAATGGGTCTGACTCTACTGACTGTCCTCTAGCAGTTGCTTCTGTCCAATCACCTATTAATCCAAATTTTGGAAATCTTTCCAATAACTGACCTGAGTATGAATGAAACCATGACCTATAAAATAAACCATGTACATACAAACAACAGCATAATCCCTATAGGGCAGACAGAATATTTCAGTTGACTACAGGAAATATCTAATGGCAAATAACCTTAAATGATAATAAAATGAAAATTGTATTGTCCAACCAGAGAGTGGCATTCAGTGGCCTCTATAGAAAAAGCAGCATTAATCTATTTCTGTACAGCATGCAAGCCAAGAATGGCTTTACAGATTTAAAATGCAAGGGACCTAAGTGGCTCTCAAAGTCTAAAATATTCACTATTTGTTACTTTACAGAAAACATTTGCTCATCCTTGGTACAAATAGTACACTTTTCTTGGTGAAGCACCAGAATAGAAGCCAGTAAGTTACCTTGTATGTGCAGATTGTCAGTTTCCTCTTTCTAGTCTCAGTGTTTCTCTGCAGTAGTGTATTGCACATCTGGAAAACCTGCTGCATGACAGCATCTTGCCTGAGGTCATCACGGCCCTGCCGAACAACCAAACACAAGCAGGTACTCTAAGTACACAGTCATCTAAGAATAGCAGTACAAGACACTCAGAAATCAATCTGAGCTATGCCCTGCTTCAGAGTCTCTTGAGTAACTAATAGCTACTGTGATTCTTTCATTTAGAAAAAAACTATGAAACTGGGAAGCAGACTACTACAAAAAACTAAGTTTCTCCTGCTTCACTATTAACTGAACTCCCTCACCTGAAGGCACAATACAAAACACCCAGATAAAGTAATATTTTATCTCTTTTCTATCTTCAGCAGGACCTCAAAAGCACCTAAACAAGCAGAACAAAGCAAGGAATGCTGTTATATTCTAGTACAGTAGTAGATAGCACAGTATCAGGCCCAGCAAGGGACTTAAATCTGTTCTAATTACCACCAAAAGCTATTTTCACAAACAAGCTCATGGTGTGTGTGTATACCTTGGAAACATTCTTTCTCTTGAATCAGCCATAAAATGATAGATAGTCTGCTAAACCTGGTAGTGCTGACCAACAATCTCAGTTTCTCTAGAAGTTGAGTTGAGAGGGTCCCAAAGTCAGGCCCAGCCCAGTCATTTTAACAAGATCTATTACAAAGAACACCGAAAAGAGAGTAGGGATGTAACTCATAAGCAGAGAATTGTTGAGCATGAGCAAGACCCTGGTTTTAATCCACAACAGTAGGAAAGAAACTTTCTCTGACAGTCTTTCAAGAAAGACACACAATAAAAAAGTAGTTTGGTTCTAGCAAACTGTATGTCTACTTCACAGATGTTTCCACCTGTCATTATTCAGGATAAGGCTAGAGTCACAGAGCCAGTCAAATGAGGGAAGAAGACGGCATCTACTCAAATTGTTCTTGACTGTGATGTCATTAGCCCTCAAAGGACTATACCAGAAACAGGAAGTCTCACCTTGACGAGCTGTCTCCTTTCCTTGCCGTCAGAACCCACACAATCTATTATTTTTGGTAAATTTAAACCTCCTGCTAAACGAAATTCTGTTTTAAATGATTTTATAGTCACCAGATTTTCATACTCTCCCATGGGATCAACCTAATAAATGATAACACATAATTATAATAGGAGAGATAAACAATGAACACTGAAGAAAAACAAATCAAATAGTAAGCAGAAAAACAGATGAGAACATACTGCTGATTAATAACTGGATCTCTAACTTACTTTGTTTAAAGTGAGAATAAATGACATTGGTAGGTTTTTATTTCATTTGCTTATTTACTTTGTGTGTGAGTCTACATTGGGGTGAGCACATATGTTATGCGCCACCATGTTGGTCCCAGGGTTGAGCTTTGTTTACAGGCTTGGCAACAAGTGTCTTTACATGGTGAGCCATTTTGCCAGCCCAGATTTTTAAAATTACATATAATTTAGTTTACTTTCTTAAACATCTTTTAATAAAACTTCAGCATTTCAAGTCAATTAGAATAGTGATGCTGAAAATTAGAACTTAGTTGTTATTTACATCTATTAAATCATCTAAGAAATTACTTAATTCACAAAAACATCAGGTTAATTTTGAAAAGTGAAAATATTCCATTAAACAACAGAGCCTCAATCTGTTAACAAATATGATTCAGTAACAGGTCAAATTCAGTAACAAAGATACTAATTTTAATATATAAACTGGAATAAAAGATATGCCATGTACTGAACACTTCAGTTTATAAAATGGTAACCTTATCTGTTACATGCATCCTGTCTACATGGTACTTCTAGTAATAAAAGATCACTGTGAATAGCTAAATTTAGTATGTACACACAGCAACTTAAAAGTACTGTTGTACTGTTGTTCTATTAAGTAATACAATACATCACAACCAATACTTTCACTGCAAAAAGAACTATTAAAAAAAAAACAAAATAACTACAACAAATTGGGGGAGTGGTGTTGAATACCTGCAAACTCCAAGAGGCTCAGGCATAGTTCAGTGGTAAAGTGTTTCCTTAACACAGGCACCATGCCCCTTTCCCCCCATGCAAGCATGTACACACTTAAAAGAGAAGCAAAATAAAGTGAAACAAATTGAATGGGTCATGGGCCTACAGTCCCAGGTACTAAGGAAATTGAGACAAGGAGGGCTGTCAAGTTTCACGCTTGCCTAAATTACAGAGCAGGTTCAAGGTCAACCCAGTGAGACCCTGTCTCAAAATTAAAAGCATAAAAAGGCTTAGTATAAAAAGGTTTAGTCCTTAGTGCTGAAGTAACAGTAAAACAATGGGAATTCTCAGAAGCTTGTGACTATTTTAAGGCTTAGGGAAAGGAAATCTAACACAGACAATATCTAGGTGGAAACACATGAAATTGTAATAATTAGCCATTTGGACTAGATAAAAAGGTCTACAGATAATTTAATCTACTAATGTGTAATTTAGTCTTATTAAAAATCAAGAGTTAATAGTAAATTACCTTAATTTCCATAGTGGGAACAACAACATCTTCTAAATTCTTCAGTTTAGTGATTGGCTGGTTTGCTGGAATAGTGATGCCTTCTATATTTAAAAATAAAGAGTTTAGTGACAACAGTAAACTGAGGAGGACCACAGAAGGTCAAGCTGTAACAATAGCAGCAACAATACTTTCAAACATACTTCTCTGGTTCCTCCACTGAGAGGCATCCAAGTTTGCCAAAATAATGTAGGCATCACAGAGTGCCTCCATGTCCTTCACCATCTTACATCTCTCACTTCTGATGGTATGGATTATCCTGGTTGCAGCCTCTGTTCGATCCTATCATCATCAACAAAGAACAAAGAAAGACAGAATAAGAACCACTGAATTAAGCTTCTTGGAGCTACACAAAGAGAATTTATATCTAGACAATGGAAGGACTATAATTCCTTAGATATAAACAAAACACCCATACAGTGAATGACATACACACATAAAATTCAAGGTTAAGACTTGTGAACTTTTCAAAAACTCTGTTTTTCTGAGGCTAGAGAGATGGTCTGATGGTGACGAGCGCCTGCTGCTCTTTCAGAGGACCCAAGTTCAGTTCCCAGCATACACATGGCAATTCTAGGTATAGGGAATTAAAAAAACCTCTTTTGGCCTTTGTGAGAACAAGATACATACATGCAAACATGTATGTTTTAAAATCTGGATTTTCTTTGTCCATTGCTACAAGAAAACAAACTAAGCCAGTATTTATGCTCTGGAAAATGTGCAGGGATTGTTAGCAAATTTTGGGAGGCATCATCATAATAAAGTATTTATAATCTACTACCCGCAACACACATTCCTAAAATCTGAGAATTAAGAAAGGAACATTCTGAGGAAAAACGAACATGACAACACAAAGGGCACTTGTATTTAATCCAAATACCTCATCAAGCTGAGAGCTTTCTTTTGGTGCATTTTTGATTATTCTACTCCTTCTGGCTGCCTCTGGTTTGCTCAAAAGTTCATCTTTGTTTGCATTTGCTAAAGCCAATATAATGAACAGAGTATGATGGGGGTGATCCATTGAAATCCTAGAGATCAGCTATCAGAAAATTAATAACTATTAGTTTTACCCAATGAAAAAAAATTAAATATACATTTTAAATTTTGCTTTACATTAAATTCAAATTATGTCATTACTGTGCAATAAGTAGTATATGTATATGTCTGTGTGAAAGAGAACTAGGGAGGAACATCAGAAATAAGAGACAAATTTATCTGTAATAAAAGAAAACAATTTCATGTTCTAATTTCTCACTTTCTTTTATATTTTATTCAGTAATATAAAAGAAAAGTAATTATTACATTTTGACTTCAAGTCTACTTACATTATTGAGAACTTCATGAAATCCTAGGCCTCCCATCATTTTGGTTCCCATTCTAGCAGCCAATTGATACATAAGAGGCAAAAATTTATATGATGGAATCTTCATTCCATCTCTCTGTCATTAAAAAAAATGCAAGATTAA